CTTTTGAGATTTTGAAAAGGCAAAGAAATGCTATAATAAAGAATGCAGATAAGGGGAATTTATAGGGCAGAGAAAGATACAGTAAGAAAGAAGAAAAGAAAGAGGAGGAGGAGGCATATTGATGAGGGAAGGAGAAATGAGAGAGGGAGGGAGAGAAGAGAGGATAGGAGAGGGGATGAAGAACAGAGGGTATGTGTAGTAAAAAGAGAAATTTGAATGATGTTCTTCTTTATTCTCAGCAATTGATAAAGAACTTACAATTAATTTAAAAAGGAAGTCAAGGTAAGAATTAGGTAAAGAATCATTGACTAAATACTTCTTTTACTATCTTTTTCTGATCAAAGAGAATAAACAAAGGTCAAACATTCACGACATCTCTTGTTAAATAAAATTTGTGGGAGTCCATTGATTTGGACTGAGCTTCTGCACTGGATTCCAACAGCCCAAATCCAAATGGAGTCACTCAGGCCAAAGTTCCATGCCACCAAACTGAAACTTGCTGTTTATCTGCAAATCCTTTATTTGACCTTCTAATAAATCAGGAGAGAGATAATAGCCAAATCCCCAAACAGACCGGTTTTAGCCTGCATGATAAGGAAGTCTCCTGTGCCTTAATGATTACAAAGAAAGTAACCTAAAGTGACCAGATGTTAACCAATCTTCTTTGTATATTATACTATTTTATTGTCCTTGCTTAAGTTGTCTTATAAAAATTGACTGTCTGCCATGCCCAATGGGGTATCTGTTTAAATCTTTAAATGGGATGCTGCCAGATTTCTGAATTGCTAATAAAACCAGTTCAATCTTTAAACTTAATCTATTGAAATTTCATCTTTGACACTTTGGAGAATCAATTATAATGGACAAATGTCAATATGTCATATATTTTACAATATAAACCACCATTCTTAGAGATCTTAGGAATTTCCTTTTTTACATTTAAGCTTTTACATTTACATTAGACCGCAGTGGCTATTGTATAGATAAACACATTCGGGGAAACAGCACAGGACTTACTGATGAACTCAGTTGTGTGTGTGGTAGGGAAGGGGTAAGACTGGGCGTATGGGAAAGAAAAGAGTCTACGGGATAATTGCAAAGCACTTTACAGAGATGAGAAAGACTTACAGAAGAAAGAGGTTTGGAGGCTGTATTAGGAATGAGTTGAGCTGTCAATGACACTGATAGTCCATTTCACCTACAAAGGAGCCTGCAGTTAGGCTTCTGATGGCTAATGTCAGCTCAATGATGCCATATAGAGATCTCCTCACTGGTCACTCTTTCTCAGCCACTTTTACCAGAGTCTCCTCCATAATTTATCCCCAAAAGATTGTAAGTCCTAGAAAACTTCTAGCTTTTTCCCCTTCTTCCTTTCTTGATTCCCTACTCTGCACTCCCTCTGGTCTCTTCCCAGGAGATGGCATCCATTCTTATTCCTGTAAATATCACCTAAATGCTCATGACTATTAGATTTACACCTCCAGCTAGGGCCTCTCCTCCAAAATCCAAATGTGCACATAAAATGGCAAACTAGATTCGGTCTCAGGACATATTTCAGGAAATGTCAAAACAAACATGTTCAAAACTGAGTTTTGCCCCTGTGGCAAAAATTAGAGATTGACTGAGTCACATTCAATTTTCAAATCCCCTTTCCTTCTTCTGCCTCCTCTATGAGGGTACTCAGGTAAAATTCAATTGCCCATGCACTCCTGCACCTGGTGGTGTCTGTGTCACACAATTCTGAGCAATGAGATAAATAGGTATCTCCTGGTGCTGCTCTTTCTCCTCATTTCTTCTTCATGGCTGAAGCACGAATAGAAGGCTTAAAGATTCAGCAGCCATATGGTGGCAATAGGCAATAGATATGCAGATAAAAGTTGAAACACCAAGGGTGGCAGAGAGAAAATAGAGAAAGAGCCTGGGTCTTTCTCTATGGCATCATTGAGCTAATCTTAGCCATCAAATGCCCGACTGTAGCTTCCTTGTCAGGTGAAATCAGTGGAGCTATCATTGTTCAAGCCTCTGGAGCAGGTGTCCCCAAACTTTTTACACAGGGGGCCAGTTCACGGTCCCTCAGACCGTTGGAGGGCCGCCACATACTGTGCTCCTCTCACTGACCACCAATGAAAGAGGTGCCCCTTCCTGCAGTGCGGCGGGGAACCGGATAAATAGCCTCAGGGGACCGCATGCGGCCCGCGGGCCGTAGTTTGGGGATGCCTGCTCTGGAGTATGGATTTCTGTCATTAGCAGCCCAACTCATTCCTAGCCGATGTGGCCTCCAAACCTATTTCTTCTTTAAGTCGTCCCTCATCTCTGAAAAGTACCTAGCAATTATCCCTGTTTAGACTCTTTCCTTTCCCACACTCTCAGTCTTACCCTTCCCTGACCAAGCACACACGGAGTCCGTCAGTAAGTCCTGCGCCCTCTCCTTGAAGGACGGGCAGCACTGTCCATGTGTTGCTCTGCACTGCAGCCACTCTAGTCTAACCTAAATGCAGAAGCTGCTGAGCTGTCCTACCCACTTCCATTTTTGCCTCTTTCCAGTCACTTCTCAACCCAGTAAATCTTTTAAAACATGCTAATGTCATCACTTCTGTGCTTAAAACACTTTACTGATTCCCATTGCACCTACAAAAGAGTCAAAGCCACATACTAAGACTTATGAGAAGCTCATGGTCTCCTATTCCTTCCTTCACCAACCCAGCAGGTATCACTTCAACCCTTCCTCAGAAGCTCCATCGCAACGGCTGTCTAAGGTACCAGACGACCATAAATTCTCTTATGCCCTAGCTTCTTTTTATTTGTGGGTCCCATTCTTGCCTTTAGCCCATGACATTTATTATAGCCTCCTTCTGTCTTCAAGTCTTAAGTGGGTCTCTAGTGAGGCCTCCTTTGACCAGTCTATGAAAACTACAATACTCTTTCCTACTCAACCCCATTGCTTTCAAAAACAGAAAGAATGTTTTATAAAGCGCCTATTATTATTTTGATATGTCTCATTCAGAGTCTACTTAGGGATATAGAAACCGTATCAGAGAGAGAGAATTTAATAGAGATAACTGGCTAAACAGGCATTGGCAGGATGAGAAAACACAGACGGCACACAGGTACCACAGAGACAGTAACTGCAGCAGTCTTGGTTGAGGGTTAGCAGCCCTCACAAGAGGAGCCCTGCCGGGCTGGGACGCAGAACTCTGAGGATGCCACTTGTCTCCTGCACTACTTCAGGCGGGTTCTGGCTGTCAGAGTCTAAGGGAGGGTGCCACCTGGCTGGTGCTGGCACTTCTGACAGGTTGCAGGGAAGCGGGTCCTGGGAGTGACAGAAGAAACTAGAAGGCAGCAAACCACCAGTGATGCTGTAATAAAACTCATGACAATCATTCCTGCAGGGGCAACAGCGGGAACTGGCAGGAGCAAGTCCCTGTTGCTTCCTATTGCCTTTCGGACTTGTTTAGTGCGCCCTATCGGTAGAGACTCCAATGAATCCACCTGGCATAAGAAATGTTTGCAGAGGCCGAGACCAGGCAATTCAGAGGAGCAAATAAAAGAGGGGATTTAGAGATGCGCTGTTCATAGCTTTATGACCAGTATTGCATTCATTTGTTTATTATCTTTTCTTTCCTGTTAGGCCACATGTGTTCAGAATCCATGTCTCTCTTTTTATTATTATAACTCCTCCACCAACCCACGTCCCCCATGTACACAGCACACTAACAAGTGGACAGAAGACACTCAACAAATATTCCTTGTATGGATGAATAATAGATGAATTTATTAGATTTTTTTTTCTCAAAACTGCTTAGCAAAATGTACAATTCAATTCTTGTCAGTGGAACATGAGGCTTTTAATGCCTTATGTGATGTTCTACGCATTTGTATTAAAAATTGCTAGAACATCACATGAAGCAGTTCCTTTTTATTTAGGTAGGAATTTAAGACATCTTCGTATAAACATATATAATAAAATGCCGTGGCAACATTCATGTTTAAATGTTCTAATAATTGAAGAGGCATCAAAACTTATATCAGAAAATAAAAAGGTAAACGCGGGTTTGGAGTGGTTCAGGAGACATGTGGAAAGCTTATGATCTGAAGCAGGCTTGAGAGAAGGGAGAAAAGCAGAGCTGTGGAGGAAGGGTAAGTTTGGCAGGTTTTGAGATGATTCTGATGAAAGCAAAGAAATGAGAGATAGTAGGAGAAGTCATTGGAAAAGTGAATTGGAATCAGCTGTGGAAAACCATACATTTTGGAGTTCAAATCATGGGTCTTATGTCTCTTGCAAAGAGGGGGCATTAAAACATTTTAAGCAAAAGAAATGATGAGGCTGCTGGGAATATTTTCTGAAGATAAACCTGGCAATACCGTGGGTCATTGATGGAGTCGGTAGAAACTAGAAGCAGGAAGACCAGTTAGGAGCCTGTGACAATAATTCTGAAACTAGATAAAGATCATGGTAGAAATAAAGGAAAGAGATAATAGGCAATGTTTAGAAGGAAGAATCAATATCATATAATACATATTTAATCTGGGGTGAGGAGGAAGAAGATATCTAGAATTAATCCACAGTGATACGCATAGGATTCAGAAGGGTGGAGATAGAGCAGAGACCACTTCCTTATCAGAACTTGATTAATAATGGCATCAGTAGAATAAAAACCACAGTGAATTATTTTTAATATTTTAATTTTATGTTTGGGGTACACGTGCAGGTTTGTTATATAGGAACACGTGTGACTTGGGGGTCTGGTGTAAAGATTATTTTATCACCCGGGTACTAAGCATAGTACCAATAGTTTCTGTTTTTTTCCTGAACCTCTCCCTCCTCCCATCATCCTCCTTCAAGTAGGCCCCAGTGTCTGTTGTTCCTTTCTTTCTTTCCATGTATTCTTATTATTTAGCTCCCATTTCTAAGTGAGAATAATTGGTATTTGATTTTCTGTTCCTGTGTTAGTTTGCTAAAGACATGTTTCTGCAAAGGGTATGATCTTGTTCTTTTTTACGGCTGCATAATATTCCATGGTGTATGTGTACCACATTTTCTTTATCCAGTCTACTGTTGATAAACATTTAGTTTGATTCCATTCCTTTGCTGTTGAAAAATTAAAGTGAATATTTATCATCCAATAACAAAAGTCAATATTTTGAAAAGCTAATATGAATCTGGAAGAATGTATATGTCTTCATCTTGAGGAACTTCAGAAGGAAGAGGCTTCTGGAAGTTATAATAGTCAGAAGATGTCTCATTTCCATAGATATGCTCCTTGAAATTAGACTGCTGTGCGTTTTCATATAGTTCCTTATCGGTTTCTCCTTTAACTTTGGGAGGACCTGCTTCCACATTTTCATAGTTGTTGTGTATGTTATTTCCCCTGACAGCAGATCTGTGGTCTTGGGTTTCAACTGAGATTTTATGCCTTAAGCCAATGATGCGGCGGCCCAAGAACGTTTTAGTACAGACTTTTCTCCTGCTGCTTCTCCTTTGCAAAAACCTCGGCAAGGTAAATCGTGTGGCAACATGGTGTTTACAGCCCCAAACACACCCGATTCCACAAACCACTAAGAGTAAAAGGAGCATAATTCCTACAGAAATGGCTGCTAAATTATTTCCACAGCTTTTCAACATTTCTGTACAAACAGTGCTGTTTAGTGGTTTGGTGTTAACCTTAACAAATTCACAGGTACAGACCAATGTAATTACTTGTAGCCTATATTATTGAAAAATGAGCTTGGAAGCTCTTTTAGGCATTTCCTTTTCAGATCTGAAAGAACATTATCTGGTAAAGCCCTGATGTGATTAGAGGAAATAGTGTATATTCTTATTTTTGGAAGACAGCTCTCTTCGTGTGTGATGCTCTTCACATTACAGCCATTAATGTGTAATTGTACTGTATCGGGAGGATTTTATTCCATTCCACTTCCTTTTCTGTTAATGAATCACAAAATGAAGGAGAAATGAGTGGAAGATGACAGCAGAGTAGAAAACTCAAGAAAAAGAAGGTTGAATGATCTGCCTTACAGAAACCTGCTATAAATAAAAAATATGTTAATTGCATGCTTACTATGTAACATAAAAAAATTACTGATTTTCACCAATGCATTGAACCCCAGCATATAGCGAGTTTCTACTTTCCATATAGAATACCCTACCTGTTGTGTTGAAAGGACAAAGTTAGAAGAATCCTGTTGCTGACCGAGCCTGAGTGGTTTTATCACTTAGATATCCACATAGTTTTTGACAATTAGGATAACAATTTTCAGGTGAAAGATAATGTTCTGAGCACATTTAGAAGGAATGGGACAAGTGCAGACACATGCAATCAACTTCATTACCTGTCACCTCTTCTGTGAATCCCTGCCTGTCCTTTGTCACAGGCAGAGGCCATATCCTTTTTGTGACCATTGCTTCCTCTGTAATCCTACATTAATGAGTCCATTCTCTATTATAGTATGATAACCTAAATGAGAGAGAATTGTATGCCTTCTTACTTGGTTAAATGGTCGGCAGGATTCGGGTCATTTCATCTGTATATTCCTAGAGTACAGCACAATACCTGGCACAGAAAAATGCATCCAATTAATATTTATTGAATGAAAGAACGCATTTAAAAATGACTCCAGATTTCAGCATCTAATTGCTTAACACGATGGTTTAAAACTCAAGGGTGTAGTTTATACTTAAAACATGAAAAGAGCACTTTAAAGTAAAAAAATATATTTTCAAAAGCCTTCATATTACAGATTTTCTCATAGCTTTCAGAAAATAACTTTCATCCAAGATTTTACATTGTTTTCTGTTGATGCTTTAAAATGGCAAGGAAAAAAGCAGGGGGAGGTGTTCAACTGGGCTGCATGTTCCATTGTGGTTTTAGCAACAAAACATTGTTACTGTATATTTTCAGTCTAGATACAGAAATGAATTCAATAGTGTTTGTGGGATGATCATCATCATCTATGGAATGTCATCCTCAATAATATTTAGTTAAGAGCTTCAGCTTTTAAACACTTACAGGGATTATCTCATTTAATCCTATAGCTGCTATATGTACAAGGTACTCTTCAGATCATCATTGTATAGATAAGAAGAGAGAGTTCAAGAAGTTAAGTAACTTCCTTACAACTAAAATGTGACTGAACGAGGATTCAAGTAAAAAAGTTCCCCCAAATATAATTTATCCAAATATCTGTAGTGTGCTAATAAGTGCATCAGTCACTAAATTTGTATAGATTGATTAGCTCAGAGGTTCTTGAAGGTTGTAAATCATGTATTATTTACCTTTGTAATACCAACACTAGCATTAGACACAGAATGACCAATCTATTTAATGTTTATTAGTGAATGAAGTAATCTCCTTATAGGACAATAATAGAAAAATGAAGAAGAAAAATAGACATTCACAAAGTGGTGCTCTGCTTTCAGTGAGTATTCATGAAAAGTTTAATGGTAATGAACTTTAATAAATTTTTCCAAGGTTAGAATATATTAATAAGCAAATATTTAATTTGACATTTTGTGTAACAAAATTAAATAAGATGTGCAGTAATTTATAAAAAATTTTTTGATAAAAACATAGGGACAACCACCCCAGGTGTAGAAACTTTTTAATCTTCTTGGAATTTTGGGGAGTGCTATTGAGGTTGAGAACTGTATGGTCGGCCACATAAGGCTTGCAATCCATAGGGTCCCTCTTGTATGAGGCCAGCCATGCTTATGTTCAAGAGCAAAAATTTAGCCAAATGATTTTAATCATTAAGATCTCATTTTCTGTCTGAAACAGATGAGCGCCAATTACCTGCAAGATATTTTATGGTATATATGGTTACTGATTTAAAAAATGATTTGTTAGAATACTTGAAATAAATTTACAAAATATACTTTAAATATTGATTGAAGTTAATCAACTTTTGGAAAGATACTAGGGCTGCAACAGAAGTGGGGGTGAGGGTTGAGGAAGGCTAACCATTGTTCCCTCCACAGCTGAGAATAAGGCAATAAATCGCCTTCTTAACTTTTAAGAAGAAAAGATTTTTTTTTTTTTTTTTTTTTTTTTTTTTTTTTGAGACGGAGTTTCGCTCTTGTTACCCAGGCTGGAGTGCAATGGTGCGATCTCGGCTCACTGCAACCTCCGCCTCCTGGGTTCAGGCAATTCTCCTGCCTCAGCCTCCCGAGTAGCTGGGGTTACAGGCGTGTGCCACCATGCCCAGCTAATTTTTTGTATTTTTAGTAGAGACGGGGTTTCACCATGTTGACCAGGATGGTCTCGATTTCTTGACCTCGTGATCCACCGACCTTGGCCTCCCAAAGTGCTGGGATTACAGGCGTGAGCCACCGTGCCCGGCCTAAGATGTTTTTACCATCTATGTTATTCTGTGTAGAGTAGACATTCTGGCACATCCAAAATATTAAAATTGTTTGTCTAAGAGATATTTACTGAGATAAAGACAAGAAGACTTTTTACAGAAAAAGAAATGCGTCCTTTTCTTCAAAATAACATTATAGGAAAAAAATCCTGTGAGACATAAACAAAGACCTGCTATAATAAAAAACATATTTTAAACAATAACCCTTCAAATGTAGTTTAACACCTAAATAATGTTCACTTTGCCCAGTTTGAAAGAAGACTCTGTTTTCATTTTGGAAAGCAGTTCCAACAGCATTACTAATAATTTACCATTTTTCTTAAAATTGAAATTTGTTAAGAAACTTCAGGAATTTTCATGTCAGAAAATGCCGTTCTGTTGGGAAACAAGGTAACAGCAAAACATAATCATATTGTAAAGGAGCATTAATGTCACTCTCAGTTTGTAAATTGCGTTTCCCCCTTATGACTACCTAAGACATTTTTCCTAAAAACTGTGCTAAGATAAAAATCATTGATTAATTAAATTCAAACTTGTTTCTTACAGTTTTTCATTACCCAAATACCTTAAATCAGGTTCTTACCTCTAGATTGGTGTGTCAAGCTCTCTCTTTTGTTCTTTTGGCTATGTTTAAAACCTGCATTGGCTTAGAACTTGTTCCTCTTTTGTCACTTTGGTCTCTTACTTCCTTCTTTCTCTCCTTCTTTCAGGTTATTTAATACTTGCAAAGTTTCCTGGCTCTAGAGGAAGTTCGTGTCAGATGTAGCAGAATTAAGATAAATGGCCTGAATTTTTGAATAAGGAAGTCTGGCCCTTCATCTTTATCAAGCAATAATTTTTTAACTGTGTCAGAAAATAATATGTAAAGCCTACGTATTTACTTGGGCCATATTTGCAGTTCCTACTTTAATATTAATAAAAGTCATTTCACTTGTATTTTAATTCTTTTAAAAAAAATATTTTAAATGTGGTAACACATAGGTCTTGAGTTTTTCATTATTATTGTTAACTCATTTTCCTAGACCAGTCCTCTCTTCAAGTATTAATATTATGTACAAATGCTCCCAAGTTATAGCCATATGGATCAAATTCGTGTCCCAATTTGGGTTCAGAAAATGTTAATGCTTTTTTAAATTTATTAAGTAGGAATATTCTAAGGTATATTTTGAGGCCCATTATCTCTGGGATATGTTAGTAGCTCTTCCATCAAGTAAATGTGGGGAATACGGTGTCCCTGGAGATTCATGGATATATCAGCATGGTAAAGCCTCTCAACAGTCCTACAGCAAGCAAACAAACACACACACACACACACACACACACACACACACACACACACACAAAAACTAAACTAAATAAGAAAAAGAAATTATTTAACTTTGCTTAATAATAGTAGTCAGTATGTTCTTAGCACTAAGTACTCCAAACCTTTTGTGTTATACTCAGCAAATCTTGGCAACAACCCTATCAGGGAGAAAAACTGTTAGTCCTAGTTTACAGAAGAGGAAACAGAAGCACATAGAAGTAAAATAATCACTTGCCCGACAGAGCCTGCAGTCTGCCCCCAGCACCTGTGTGCTAAGCCGCTGCACTGGCTGCCTTGCTAGATTGAGTAATGTGTTTCCCACACAGAAACCCTCACTAATAGCATCTCCTGGAGTCCAACTCAACGGGAACACACACAGTGGGAGATCCTGAATTAGACAAATTGCAGGTGAATTCGACAGGTGAGATGACAAAGTAATGGGAAATTTGTCTTTTAACTTGTATTGGGACTTTTTGAACCACAGAGGATTAACTTTGCATAAGGTGGTTTTAAAAAAGAGGATTTAGTTACTGAAATAACTACTGGACATTGGAAAGACAGGACGTATTATCAACCCCTGTTGAGCGCTGATATTATGCCAGGCATTGTGCTAAGTGATGAGGATGCAAGAGTGAATAAGCTCCCTGCACCACCTACAGCTGAGGAGGGAGGCTGCTGCACCCACAGAACATTTCAGATCAAGGTGGTAAGGCCTAAGAAAGATATGATTATGGACAGGGACAGTGGAGATAAAGAAAAGAGGCAGCCAGCTCAGAGGGCGCTCAGGGAAGGCAAGACATGAGCTAAGCCTCATAGAATAAGGTGTTAAGGCAGAATAGGGGTGTCCGGAACAAAGATGTGATGGTGAAGAAAATTATGAAGTTGAGAAGCTATGAACTTGATGTGCTCCACCAGTATGTTTAACTGCAGTATTAGCCACCCCTTCAAATAATATACACACCCTCCTGCCTAGTCACACATCTGTAAGAAAAGCAATTTGTGCAATGTTTCCATAAAATTATGTGATTTTCTCTAGAAGGCAGGACGACTCATGCTCATTCATGTTTTGCCCTTTGAACTTAATCAAAATCACAATGAGATACCATCTCACACCAG